ATCCAGGCATTCCTGGGGCCATCCAGGCACTCCTGGGGCCATCCAGGAGTCCTCCCAGGCACCCAGCCTGGAGCCCTGCAGGAATTTCCAATTTCTCCTTTGCCCTCCGGAGTCACTGCCTGTCCTTGGCTGGGTCAGTGCCATCTGCTCTCCCCTGGACACAGCCCTGCACGGCTCCTGGGTGAGCTGTGCTGTCCCTGGGACTCACCACAGCCATCCCAAATTCCCATCTCACTGTTTCCTGCTGTGTTTGCTGGGATTTGCTTTGGACCAACCCGTGCTGGCCGTTCCCTTCTCCGTGTTCCCGTCAGGACTTACAGATTTTATTGATCCACTCGATCCTTTCAGGAGCTGGAGTTAAACTCAGCACAGAACCCCCTGAGTCCCCCTTCCCCCATTTTAAGGATATTCCTTGTGTTCGTCCTGTTCCTGTTCGGGCACTCGGCCTCTTCTCTGCAAGATCCCAAAACACCTCATGGCAGCTCCAGGGTTGCTTCACCAAATTCCCTTTGGGTGAGTTGAATCCCACCTGGCTGCTTTGGGAACATCCAGCGTCTGTGGGAGACCTTTAATATTCCATTTTCTTATTTCAGCCTCAGCCCCCTGTCACTGGCTCTGTTGTTACTCACCTGATCACAGCTGACCTTTCCCAGCAGGACTGAGGCAAAACAAATCTCTGTGTGCTTGGAATCACAGAGACACGGGGGCGGTTGGGCTGGGAAAACCCTCGGAGGGCTCCGAGTCCAACTGTTCCCCCAGCACTGCCAAGGCCACCACTCACCCACGACCCCAAGGGCCACATCCACAGGGCTTTGAAATCCCTGTGCCACGGGCAACAGAGGAGCTGGGAGTTCAGCTGCCAGAGGGCAGGGATAGGTGGGATATTGGGCAGAAATCCTTCCCTGGGGGGGTGGGGAGGCCCTGGCACAGGGTGCCCAGAGGAGCTGTGGCTGCCCCTGGATCCCTGGAAGTGTCCAAGGCCAGGTTGGATGGGGCTTGGAGCAACCTGGGATAGTGGGAGGTGTCCCTGCCCATGGCAGGGGGTGGCACTGGATGATCTCTAAGATCCCTCCCACCCAAACCAATTCCGTGCCCTTGCAGTGGTTTTTTTGTTAGAGCTGCTTTAGTGCCCGAGCCTTGGGAATTTCCCCATTTCCAATGGCAAGGGAAAAACGCAGCAGCCCTTGGGATACGACCAGGCTCTTCCCCACCCCAAACTCCTGTGCCACCAGCAGCCTGGATTCACTTGTGTCCACCCTTCCTCACTCCCTTCGTGGGCTCTCACTGTCCCTGTTCAATCCCATTTTCTACCCCCAGGCTCTTCCCTCCTTCCTCTGCAAGAACTGCTCTCCTCACACTGTGAGCCGGGCAGGGCTCCTGGTGAAGCCCCCCTGTGCCAACCCCTCCTTTGCCATTCCCCCCGTTCCAGCCCCCTGTGCCACCCCCCAGGCCGTGTCCATGGGACAAACCAGGCTGTGCCGGGGCCCGTTCCCGGCGCCCTCATCCCCGAGCTGGAACTGGTTTAGGACAAACCCTCCACCTCACGAGCCAGAAGCAGGTGGAGGAATCCCGGCAGAGCGGTGTCCATGCCCTCATCCCACCTCCTCCCCCCGAGGATGATCCCAGCCCCACCCCGAGCAGGGCAGAGGGTGCCGGGCTGTGCCGGGCGGTGCCGGGGTGGCTCCGGTGGCTCCGGTGCCCGGCGCTGGGATGAAGGAGGCCGTGCACGCCCTGGCCATGATGCTCATTCCTTTATTGTGTCGGTGCCGTGTTGGAGGGCGCGGGCGCTCCCGGGGCGCTCCCAGCGCGGGGTCGAAGCTACGTTACAGCACAGGGAGGAGGGTCCGTCCCGGCCGGAGCGGGGGGACGGGCACCTCTCTCCACACAGTATGTATAATATATATATATTTATAATATGTCCTGTATATTCCTATGTATAGTGACAAGGATGGGCCACCAGACAGTGAACTTTTTGATTTCTAAATAAATCACCAGAGCAACAGGCACGAAAATTTGGTCCTAATCGAGGCCCTCACCTTGTCCATGAACCCGGAACAGACCCGCACCCACCCCCGCGCGGAAAAACCTCCAAACCTGGAACCCAAAGGAACAGTTCAACAACAACAGAAGGAAGCCCCAGCCCAGCCCCGTCCCCCCGGGGGTTTCTCCCCGTGCAGCCCCTCACACTGACGGTCCCGGACCCCGGGAACACCCCACACCCGGCACGCACTCGCTGGGACACACACGGACACCGACGGACGCCACGAACACGGCCCGGGGAACCCGCTCGGCCCCTCCGCGGGCTCTGCGGGCCGGGGGGGCTCGGCCGGGCCGGGGGAGCGCTCGGGGGGCTCCCGGACCCCGCGGTACCAGCGGCGCTTGGATGTTGGAAGGGGCTCATCCCGTTCCCTGCTCTGGGAGCTCCCGTCCCGTGCTCTGCTGGAGGGGCTCCCGCGTGGATCCCACCGTGAGCACAGTGCTGCTGGAGCTGGAGCGGGGCCTGTCCCTCGCCGTGACGCCCGGAGGACACCCACACACCCACACACACACACCCCCACCCTGCCCGCGGTGCTCCCTGGCCCGGGGGCGAGGGCACCGTCAGCGCTGTGTCCCACCCCCGAGCCACAGAGACGGTCACCAGTTCAACCCCTCGGGGCTCCACGAGCTGCTGATCCGCCCAAGGTGAACTGGGGCCAGTGGAAAACAAGGAAGGGAGGAAAATCTATTCCCACAGCCCCCCCCCCCCCCCCCCCAGCTTGTCCCCGTTCTGAGGTTGTGCTTCCCGACCCCGACTCCCAGACGCTTTCCTGGAAACTAAACAAAGAGCTCCACCTCTCCCATCCACCGTGTTCTACGGGATCATGGAATCCCAGACCGGTTTGGGTGGGAAGGGACCCTAAAGCTCACCCAGTGCCACCCCCTGCCATGGGCAGGGACACCTCCCACTAGCCCAGGTTGCCCCAAGCCCCGTCCAACCTGGCCTTGGACACTTGCAGGGATGGGGATGGTTTCACGGGGCCAGCTTGCTGTGGGGGATGCCCACGGACACCCCTGGCTGCTGGGGGTCCCCGTGCACACAGACCCACCCCACGCCGTGGAAGGGACCCACCTCTCACTCCTCAAACACCTTCCCCTGCACCCTCCTCCCCAGGCTGAGCTCAGGAGGGAGGGAGCTCAGCTCTGGGAGCACCTACAGCTCCCAGCTGGATTCCCAGCCAGGTGCTGGGAGGGGGGAGAAGGGACGAAGGTTTTGGAGGGGCAGAAGGTGCTATGGGGGACAGGTGGAGAGGGGAAGGTGGAGCCAGAGGGCAACGATCGAGAGCTTGAGGCAGGACAATGTTAGAGGGGATGAGGAGAAGACACCCCGTGCCAGAGCAGGGGTGAGAGCAGGAGGATTCCCCCGGCCCGGCTGCACCGACGGGACACGGCTGGGGGGACCTGCCCAGCTCCGAGCTCAGCACAGCTGGTTCTCCTGCTCCTGCTGTTCCTGCTCCTGCTGTTCCTGCTCCTGGTGTTCCTGCTCCAAGCCTGTGCCTTGCTCCCTCACCCCGTCCCATGTCCAGGCCCATCGGGGTGAGCAGTGACCAGTCCAACAGTGGGAGAACAGAACAGGCTGCCCAGGGAGCTTCTGGACTCTCCCTCCCTGGGGATACTCCAAAGCCAGACACAATCCTGGGTAACGTGCTCCGGGGGGCTGGATGAGCTCCAGGGGTCCCTTCCAATCTCAACCATCCTGTGAAGGAATTCTCTTTGTTTCCAGGAGACATTTCCTCCCTGCAATGTTCTCCAACCTGCCCTCCCGGGGACTCCCTGTGCCCGGGGACTCCCTGTGCCCGGCCCTTTGCCAATCCACACCCTCCCAGGTGAGCCGGGGATCGCTCCCTTATCCATGAGAATCGTGCCACACAAACAGACCTCCTCACCCCCCCCCCCATGCCAGGGAAAGCACAGCTGCTGGCCTGGCACTGCCAGGAAGGGGCTTCACCAAGGTCCCACCTTCCCTCCCTCCGGAAGCCGCATCCCCCAGGGACACCGAGTGCGTGTGGCAGCCGGGATGGGATTCACAGCCCCAGCAGACCCCCCTCCCCACACCCCACATTTCACACCCATCCCTCCCCCCCCAGCTTGGAAATCTCCCCCAGCTCAGAAGTGACCTCCCTGTGGCACTGCCCAGCCCGGAGGGGAGCGATGACCTCCCTCCCCTGGGCATCACCACCTTGTCCCACGTTTCTCCACTGCCTTCAGCTGCAGGATGGAGCCTCTCTCCTCCCACAGCTCTGTTTTCCAGAGGCAGCGCCGCTCCCCACGCTGCCTGCCTTTGGGATGGGCGGATGGAAGGGGCTGCAAAGTTCCACCTCTTGTTGTTGCAGTCAGGAGTCCCACCCCAGGGACGGGAGATGGTGTCAGGCACCGTGACGGGCCGGGGCTGTCTCCAGAGTGTCTCCAGAGCGTGGCACAGGTGGACAAAGCCCTTGGCTTTGGTTGACTTTGGTGACTCCGTGATCCCTGTGGATGGAGCTGGTGCTCCTGGAGTGACAGCCGTGCCCGTGCCCGTGAGATGTCCCTGCTGCCACCAGTGTCAGGCTGGGGAGTCCCACTGGGGGACTCTGACAAGGCGCTGCCACCACCGAGTCTCCAAACCCGCGTAGGAATCTCCGAATTTCCCTGGGATCCAGCACAGCAAAGGCAGCACCAGCTCCTGCTAAAGCCCCTGGAGAGGGTCCCGTGCCCCTCCTGGCTGGTGAGCGTGTCCTGGCCATGCCCAGCCCTGTGCTGGGCAGCGTGGGCAGGGCTGGGAGCTGGGCAAACCCGGGGGTCAGCAGAGTGCCCAGGGCCAGCCCTGCACGTCCAACAGTCCGAGCGCGTCTCCTGCCTCCGCCACCAACCACTCCATAAATAAATAGGTTAAATAAATAAAGTGACAGATCCGGGCCGGGGAGGGGCATGGGGAGGGAGGGAGGGAGGGAGGGGGGGAGGGAAGGGCAGGTCCTTCGTGTCTCACAAACACACGCACACAAAGCAGCTGCAGACAAGGACGAGCGGGGCCCTCCCTCGGCCCCCTGGGGCTCAGTCCGGACCGGGGCTCCGGGATGTCACTCCTGAGCTGGCATCTGAGCTGGCATCTGAGCTGGCATCTGAGCTGGCATCGCGGCGGCACAGGCGGCGCCGGAGGTGAGGGACACGTGGGTGGTGGAGGAGGGCAGCGACCGCGGCGTCTGGCACCTGGGGGACACAGAGGGGCACTGCTTGGCTCTGCTGCCCCTGCCTCCCACTGGGAAAGACATGGACACACTGCCTTGCTCTGCTGCTCCTGCCTCTGCCTCCCACTGGCCCCAAAATCCCCAAAATCCCACTGTTTCCTCCGTCATTCGCAGGCAGCACCCTGTGCTGGGCAGGGCAGCACCTTGTGGGGGGGGATACCTGAGTATCATGGAATCATGGAATGGTTTGGGTGAGAAGGGACCTCAGAGCTCATCTCATCCCACCCCCTGCCATGGGCAGGGACACCTCCCACCAGCCCAGGTCGCTCCAAGCCCGGTCCAGCCTGGCCTTGGACACTTCCAGGGATCCAGGGGCAGCCAGGGCATCTCTGGGCAACCCGTCCCCACTCCCCCAGCCAGCAATTCCTTCCCAATATCCCCTCTCTCCCTGCCCTCTGGCAGTGGGAAACCATTCCCTGTGTCCTGTCCCTCCAGCCCTTGTCCCCAGTCCCTCTCCAGCTCTCCTGGAGCCCCTTTAGGCTCTGCAAGGGGCTCCAAGGTCTCCCTGGATCCTTCCCTTCCCCAGCTGAGCTCCCCCAGCTCTCCCAGCCTGGCTCCAGAGCAGAGGGGCTCCAGCCCTGGCAGCATCTCCGGGGCCTCCCCTGGACTCTCTCCAGCAGCTCCACGTCCCTCCTGCACTGAGCTGTGCACGACGACAACTCAACACGACCCACATTCTAAACTCCGATCCCACCCAGCGACTCGGGGCAGGTTCCAGCCCCCAAAGGAAGAGGGGGTTTGCAGCCCCGCTGCGACTCCTCCGTCTGCCCCAAGCCCCCCCTTTGTCCCCCGGGGAGCATCCCAGCCCTGCCCCAGCCCCCCGTGCCCCTCACCAGGAGCGGGACTTGCGCAGGCGGGAGGCCGCCGGCCGCTCCAGGAGGCTGTCCAGGCGCATCAGCCGCTCCAGGTGCAGCGCCCGCGGGTCCTGCTCCGCCCCGTCCCCGCTCCGCTCGAACTCGAAGATGGCCGGGGGGGAGAGGTCCAGCTCCAGGAACATGATGTTCTCGGCCTGCACAGCACGGGGGAACCGGCGCGGGAGTCACCGCGCGGCAGAACCGGCCCCGGTGAGCCCCGCTCCGGCTGCTGCCGCACAGGAGAGCTCCACCCGGCCCACGGCCCTGCTCGGGCTCTCCTGGCCTATCCCAGAGCTCTCCTGGTCTATCCCAGGGCTCTCCTGGCCTATCCCAGAGCTCTCCTGGCCTATCCCAGGGCTCCCCTGGTCTATCCCAGAGCTCTCCTGGCCTATCCCAGGGCTCTCCTGGCCCAGCTCCCAGCGGGTCCTTCCCAAGGGCAGGAGCTGCCGGAACCAGGGCCAGCAGCTCCGGGAGTGGCTGAGAGCAGGGATCTGCCAAGGGGTGGGATAAAGCTGGGAGCTTGAGCTGGCATATCCCAGGTCATTGTGAGCTTGTTTACTCCATCTTCTGTCACAGTGTTTGTCCGTCCATCCATCCATCCATCCATCCATCCATCCATCCAAGCATTCATTCACCCATCTCCATATCCACCCATCCACCTCTACTTATCCTTCCACCCATCCACCCATCTATCCAAGCATCCATCCACCCACCTCCATATCCATCCATCCACCTCTACTTATCCTTCCATCCATCCACCCATCTGTCCAATCACCCATCCATCAGCCCACCTCAGTCCATCCACCCACCCACCCATCCATCCATCCACCCATCAACCTGCACTTATCCTTCCATCCAACCACCCATCCACTCATCCACCCATCTATCCAATCACCCATCCATCAGCCCACCTCAATCCATCCACCCACCCACCCATCTACCCACCTATCCACCTCCACTTATCCTTCCATCCATCCATCCATCCATCCATCCATCCTTCCATCCATCCATCCATCCATCCACCCACCTCCACTTATCCTTCCATCCATCCATCCATCCATCCATCCACCCACCTCCACTTATCCTTCCATCCATCCATCCATCCTTCCATCTGTCCAATCATCCATCCATCAACCCACCTCAGTCCATCCACCCACCCACCCATCCCATCTATCTGTGGACTCCGTGCCCCCTGGCCCACCCCATTCCCCCCTGGCCCACCCCAGTGCCCTCTGGCACACCTCAGTGCCCCCCTGGCCCACCCCATTCCCCCCTGGCCCACCCCAGTGCCCGTGACGCACCCGGAAGCGGGGGTGGGATCTCATGGCCATGGCCACCCGGGCGTACTGGCTGATGGGTCTCTTGTAGCCCACGGCAGAGGTCGGGCGCCTCTTCATCTGGGAGCTGTTCCTGGGCACGGGGGGAGGGAGAACCCGCCTTAGGGAGCACGAACTGACCACGAACTGACCACGAACTGACCACAGCTGTGTCCCAGCGGGGACTGAGGGGGCTCGTGGCCCTTCCCACTGGGGCTTGGCCAGGAGGGGATTTCCATATGTGGGCACCTGCAGGTCCCTGGGCCACCAGCCCTGGGGACATCGGTGCCCACAGGCCCCCCGCCCTGGGGACATCGGTGCCCACAGGCCCCCAGTCCCGGGGACATCGGTGCCCACGGGCCACCAGCCCTGGGGACATCAGTGCCCACGGGCCAGCAGTGCCAGGGCAGTGCCTGGGCCAGGGCCAGGCCAGGGCCAAGACGTACCCTCCAGTGGGCACCAGCGGCTGGAACTTCCACTGGTCCTCATCGCCGTCGAAGTAGAGGCGGTTCATGATCTTGTTCTTCTCCTCAGGAGGGATGAAGTTCTCGATGATCAAGTACCTGAGCCAGGGACCGGCCAAGAGGGACGAGAGGGGGTGATGGGGGGAAGGAGCAGGAGAGGAAGGAGTTAATGAGACAGGAGACAGAAAACAGCCCGGAAAGGGAGAGGAAAGGGATGGCAGGAAGAGAGGGAGACAGCGCAGGGAGAGGAAACATCCAGAGGATGAAAATGGGATGGAGGTGGAGGGGGTGAAGGAATAGATGCAGCCACGGAGAGGGGAGGGGAAGGAGAGGAAGGGTGGGGGGTGACAGTCATCAGGGAGGAGCCAGGACCCCTGGGAGCTCTGGGGCTCCAGGCAGGATCAGGACCACCCCCCTCCTCTCCTCCCGTCTGCTCCCCTGGCTGCCTGACCCCAAAATCAAGGGCAGCTCAACGATGCCAAACGATTCCTGAAGGGAATCTTTTTTCCCGTGTTTTTTTGGGGCAAATCGAGCAGCTGCCAAAAACTGTTCCCCGTCCACGAGCTGCTTCTCCCAACTGCAGCTTCTCCACAGCCGCATGTGGGGAGGGAGAAGGGGGAGATCGGAGATGGGATTCTGGTCCCAGTAAAACTGTTTTCCCCCCCAAAAACGCTGAAGTGCTTGTAAATGTCTGGGGGGGTTAAAGTACTGAAAGAGATGAGTGTTTGAAGTGAGAACAAACCCCCGGGGGCGGAGGAGCAGCAGCTGCTGCTGTGGGAGGCTCCCGGGAGGCAAAGGCTGCCCGGCTGTGCCCCGGGAGCTCCCACAGGGCCGGGATCACCCCGGAGCCGCTCGCCCTCCGAGGATGGCACTGGGGCCACAGCAGGTCTCCAGATGCCCTCAGCCCCCAGCCACCGCTGCCACCCCCCGGGTTCACCCCCAGCCTGTGCTGCTGCTCTGCTGGTGTTTCTGCTGGAACATTTTCTGCTCTTCCCCTTTCTCAGCAGCTTTTGGACGCCCCGAGTGCTGCTCACCCAGTGCTCAGGGTTCCAACACCTTCTGCCACAGCCAGCAAAGGTGGGAAGGGCTCAGCTGTCCCTGGCAGTGGGGGATTGCTGCCTCCAGTTCTGCACCCACCCTGAGCCCCCCAGCCCTGCTCTGAGCACCCCAACTCTGACCTGAGCCCCCCAGCCCTGCTCTGAGCCCCCCAGCCCTGCTGTGAACACCCCAACTCTGCCCTCCACACCCCAATTCTGTTTTGTGCACCCAAGCTCTGCCCTGCACACCCCAAGTCTACCCTGCACACCTCAGCCCTGCTCTGAGACCCCAGATCTCCTCTGCACACCCCATCTCTGTCCTGAGCACCCCAACTCTGACCTGAGCACCCCAACTCTGCCCAGCACACCCCAATTCTGCCCAGCACACCCCAGCTCTGTCCTCCACATCCCACTTCTGCCTGGCACACCCCAATTCTGCCCAGCACACCCCAGCTATGCTCTGTGCATCCTAACTCTGCTCTGTGCACCCCAGGCCTGGCCTGTGCCCCTCAGCTCTGCTTTGTGCACCCAGATCTTCCCAGCACACCCCAACTCTGCCCAGCACACCCCAGCTCTGTCCTGCACACCCTAATTCTGCCCAGCACACCCCACTTCAGCCCAGCACACCCCGGGCCCAGGTGCCCCACAACCACCCCACAACCACCTACTTGAGCTTCAGCTCCCTCGTCTGCTCATTCTGGGCCTCCTCCAGGTCCTGGCGCACTCGGATGTACTCATCGTGCTGGTCCTGGATCTCGGCCTTCACGGCCTGCAGCTTGGCATAGAGCTGGGGGGGGACAGCACCCTCAGCCCCCTCAGCACCCTCAGCCCTCTCAGCCCCCTCAG